ATTTTTAAACAATAACAACAATTACGACCATCAACGATTCATCAATAAACATCCAGTCAGTTATTTCCACACAGATTCACCAATGCACACCAAAATGCGTCATCACGCATATCACCTCGGAGATCTCCTACAACACCTCAGCCTTTCGGCCTACAACACCTCAGCCTTTCGGCCTACAACACCTCAGCCTTTCGGCCTACAACATTCAAAAGCAACACACAGGGCACCACAACTGTTCAACTTAACAAATCAACTTACAACATTGCACAACTGATACAACTCACATATCATACAACAATATGTAACTAATATATCTCAACATCATCAACACTATTATCTACTTTAGATTCCTCCATTTCAAATCAACTCAGCATAACAACATTTCACATCATATAATACAATTTCATTCATGCGCCCGGCACACTTGTAGTTGCGCCCAGCGCAGTGCAACCAGAGAGTATCAGGGGGCTCGCACGCCCAGCGCAGGTGTGCCCACGCCTGGCGGGGCTCAACCAGAGAACCCAATGCTCACTCGCGCTTGACGCAATGGCCATTGCGCCCAGCGCCGGCCAGGCAGAGACTCAAGGAGTCTCACGCGCCCAGCGTGCACAACCTTGCGCCCAGCGCGGGGAAGGTAGAGACCTCCCTTGGTCTCACGCCCAGCGCAACTCAAATTCCACCCAGCGCCCACGGGGTAGAGACTCCCAAGGAGTCTTAGGCCCAGCGCGACAAGGAGCGCGCTCAGCGCCCAAAAGGTGAACCAAAACTTGCCCCAACTGGTATCGCGCCCAACGCGGTCCAAGTCACGCCCAGCGCGGGCCAGCCAGAGACCCACATTCTCAAGCGCGCTCAGCGCACTCATCATTGCGCTCAGCGGGCTTAGCCAAATGGGGTCTCCTGGTGGCCGCGCGCCCAGGCGCGAAGAACCCCGCTCAGCGCGAAGCTCAACAGCAGCCAACCATTTTCGAAAGACTTTTCAAAATCTGCAGAATAATCAGAGAACCCCACATGCAATCGGTTCAATCTACTACATTATCATCCCAGAATTCAAAAACACCACCTTTTTCAACATGCAACAACAAATTCATCAAAAAGCCCAAGATTTGTCAAAAACAATCAAAGAACTCAACAATTTCTAATTTTCAGCCTTTCTCACGAGATCAGCAACCATCAACCCTTTTAAACAACTGAAAAACATGCAACAACTGATTCTCATTCCAAAATCACTACAGAACTAGCTTCCCTTACCTCAAATCAAGGAATCGAGCTTCGGGAAGAATAACGAGAGGTAAGCGAAGAACGGCTTGAACGACGAAGGAGAAGAAGAAGGGAAACTCCTACTCAGCTAGCAAAATCCCAATTCTGCTCCACACCACCACCTTGAGATAGCAATTTGGGGGAGAAGAACAAAAGGAAAAAAAGAGAGTGAGATAATGTAAGGTGAGAGTTTAGAGAGGAAGGAGTTAAGGAAAGAAAGATCCGTACGGGGGTATCACAACCTCCCCAACAACAAGAGTTTTCGTCCCCGAAAACATACTTACTTGGGAAAAGAAACGGATACTGTTCTCGGCACTGCTGCTCTACCTCCCAAGTAGCCTCACCAGTCGCTGTATCCCACAAAACCTTTACCAGAGCAATGGACTTGCCCCTCAACTCCTTCAGCTTTTGATCAATCACAGCTTATGGCATCTTCTCAAATGTCAGGTTCTCCTTCACTTGCACATCGTCCAGCTCCACCACATGACTCGGGTCATGAACATACTTCCTCAGCTGAGACACATGGAATACATCGTGTTGGTTGGAAAGGGACGGCGGCAAAGCCAACCGATAAGCAACCGGACCTACACGTTGTATGATCTGATAGGGGCCCACGAACCTCGATGTCAACTTTCGTGCCCTCAGTGCTCTGCCCACACCAGAAGTTAGAGTCACCTTCAGAAACACATGCTCCCCCTCCGCAAACTCCAAAGGCTTACGCCTTTTGTCAGCATATGATTTCTGCCTACTCTGAGCAGTCTTCATCTTCTCCTGTATCAACTTCACCTTTTCAGTAGTTTGTAGGATTAGCTCCGGTCCCACAACCACTGACTCACCATCCTGATACCAGCACAGAGGAGTCCTACATCTTCTGCCATACAGGGCTTCATACGGCGTCATCCCAATACTAGCATAAAAGTTATTGTTATAAGTAAACTCCACCAACGGTAGGACTTCCTCCCAGCTACCCAAGTGATCTAGCACACAGGCCCTCAACAGATCCTCCAAGGACTGGATTGTCCTCTCTGAATGACCATCCGTCTGTGGATGATAAGAAGAACTCAGTTTCAGCTTCGTGCCTAGAGCCTGATGTAGACTCTGCCAAAATCGGGAAGTGAACCTCGGATCTCGGTCAGAAATGATACTGGAAGGCACCCCATGCAACCGTACTATCTCCCTCACATACAACTGTGTCAGCTTCTCCAAGGACCACTTGATATTGACAGGCAAGAAATGCGCACACTTGGTCAACCGGTCAACAATCACCCAAATAGCATCACTATTCCTAGTTGACCTAGGCAACCCCACAATGAAATCCATAGTAATGCTATCCCATTTCCATTCGGGAATCTCAATCTGTTGCATCAACCCACTCGGCTTCTAATGCTCAACCTTTGCTTTTTGACAAGTTAAACAGGCTGCCACATGCTCAGCTATCTCCCTCTTCATGCCAGGCCACCAGAAGGTCTTCCTGAGGTCCTGATACATCTTAGTCATACCTAGATGTATGCTAAGTCTACTCTTGTGGCCCTCTTCCAATACAGCTCTCTTTAGTTCCGCATCCTGAGGTAGGCAAATTCTGCCTCTAAACCTCAAGATCCCATCTTCTCCGAGTTCAAAACCAGCAACTTTCTCAGTACCCAGCAATCCAAGAAGTCGCACCAACTCCTCATCCTGCAACTGTTTGAGTCCAACCTGCCTCAAGAACTCATTAGTTATGGTAACTGCCCCACAACTAACGTGATCCTGAGCTATCTCCACACAAAGATTCAAATCCCTAAACTTCTCAACTAGCTCCAGCTCTCTTACCATCATACTTGACATGTGGAGGGATTTCCTACTCAGAGCATCTGCCACCACATTGGCCTTGCCCGGATGATACATCAACTGAAAATCGTAATCTTTCAAAAACTCCATCGACCGCCTCTGCCTCATGTTCAGCTCCTTCTGATCAAACAAGTACTTCAGACTCTTGTGATCACTGAAGACGCTAAACCGAGCACCAAATAAATAATGCCTCCAGATCTTCAAGGCAAACACCACAACTGCTAACTCCAAGTCATGAGTGGGATAGTTCCTCTCATGAATCTTCAGTTCCCTTGAAGTATATGCCACCACTCTCCCATTTGGCATGAGCACACACCCCAGACCCTGATGAGAGGCATCACAGTACACGTCAAAAGGCTCACCAGAGTCCGGTAACACCAGCACAGGAGAAGTGGTCAACCTCCTTTTCAACTCAACGAAACTCTGCTCACATGTATCGGTCCAAATGAATGGCTGCTCCTTCCTAGTCAGCTGGGGCAGGGGTGCTACTATCTTAGAGAATCCCTCAATGAACCCCCGATAGTAGCCCGCTAAGCCCACAAAGCTCCGGACATCCGTGACAGTCCTCGGGCGCTCCCACTGCAACCCCGACTCCACCTTAGCCGGATCAATAGCAATCCCCTCAGCTAAAATCACGTGGCCCAAGAACTTCACCTCATCCAACCAGAACTCACATTTTGAAAACTTAGCATACATCTGCTTCACTTTTAAATCTCCAACACAGTCCTCACGTGCTCTCCATGCTCCTCCGAGGTCCGTGAATAGATCAAAATATCATCAATAAATACTACCACAAATTTATCCAGGTACGGCCGGAAGATTCTGTTCATGTAATCCATGAACACTGCAGGGGCGTTGGTCACACCAAACGGCATCACGACGTACTCATAGTGACCATACCTAGTCCTGAAAGCAGTCTTCGGTATGTCACCCTCCTTTACCCTAATCTGGTGATATCCTGATCTTAAGTCAATCTTGGAAAACATTGCAGCTCCTCTTAGCTGATCCATCAAGTCATCTATCCGGGGAAGAGGATATTTGTTCTTGATGGTCAACTTATTCAATTGCCGGTAATCCACACAAAGACGGCTACCCCCATCCTTCTTCTTTAACAACAATACAGGAGCACCCCACGGTGAGACGCTTGGCCGCACCCACTGCTTCTCCAACAAGTCTTCCAACTGAGCCTTCAGTTCAACCAGCTCAGCAGGAGCCATCCTATAGGGAGCCACCGGCACTGGCCCCGCACCTGGAACCAGGTCAATACTAAACTCCATCTCCCTAACAGGAGGCAACCCAGGCACCTCATCTGGGAATACCTCAGCAAAATCCCACACCACATCAATTTCAGAAATAACTCATTCGGTCTCAACACTCAATGCAGCAATCAGAAGACAGCACTCCGCCCCATCTCTCAGCAAGGACTCAGCTTGGCCAGCTGAGATCAACAGTTCATCCTCCTCCCGAGGAAAGATCAACCGCCGATTGGCACAATCTATTAGAATGCGATTGGCAGACAACCAATCCATTCCCAAGATTATGTCAATATCCACCAAAGGTAAACAAATCAGGTTCACCTTGTACTTCTTCTCATTCACCACAACTGGGCAACCCACACACAACTCAGAAGCAATCACAGAAGCAGAAGTGGGCGTCGACACAAGCAGTCTCAACCCCAAATCACACACAGGCACACCCAACATAGCAACACATGCATAAGATATAAAGGAATGTGTAGCACCAGAGTCAAAGAGAATCATCACATCCTTACCAGCAGCTTTGCCCTTCCCCTTCACAAGATCAGAAGAAGTCGAAGCTTCGGCACCCGTCAGAGCAAACACCCTACCAGCTGTAGTGGGTCTGTCACCCCTCTGAGTCTTAGTCCTCTACACACTACTGCTCTGAGTATCAGCTCTCTACGCATCTCTCCTTGGTGTACTCTCCTCCGGTCTACTCCTGGTGGGACAGTTGAACGACAAGTGGCCCATCTGCTGGCATCTGTAACATCTGCTCTCCGTGTGTGGACAATCCCTGATCAAATGGGATCCACCACACCTGTAACACCTCAGAGTGGCACCTCCACTCCGTCTACCTCCACTAGCAGTACTGGAAGATTGCCTACTGACAGGATCCCCTTGCTGTGATTGGGGCCTATCATAGGGCTTCCTCTGACTTCCACCTCCCCTCCTAGACTCAACTGGTCTCTCGGTATCTCTGATCACACGGTTACCTCCTTCTAACCTCTCCATAATCTTTGCCTTCTCTACCAAGGCAGGAAACTCGGTGATGGCCATAGGCACCACCACCTTCTTCAGCTCATACTTCAGACCCTCTGCAAACTTCCTGCACTTCCAAGCCTCAGAAATGGCCTGTGAATAAAAACGAGCCAAGTGCTCGAACCTCATCGCATACTCTGATACAGTCAACCCACCCTGGTGTAACCGCAAAAACTCAGCCTCCTTGGTGTGCCTTACACTTTCCGAAAAGTACTTTTCCATGAATACCGTCCTGAAGCACTCCCAGTCAATTACAACCCCTCTAGAATTAAGCATCTGATAAGTGCTTCCCCACCAATGCTCGGCCTCTCCCACAAGCATATACACAGCATATACTAACCTCCTCTCTGGAGAACATCCCAAGACAGCAAAGATCTTCTCAAGCTCATGGATCCAGCGGTCAGCTACCTCTGGATCCGCATCTCCCGCGAACTGTGGAGGGTTACACTTCCGAAATTCAGCAAGATCTCGGCTTTCCTGTGACCCTGTAGGTCTTGCTGCACCAGCTGCAGCTCTCTCAGCCTTCATCCTAGCAAAATAGGCAGTTTGCTGTTGCATAGCCATAGCCATCATCTCCATGGCACGGGCTATCTGCTCGTTGGTCCTAGTCATTGTCTACAAAAGGAACATCATCTTTAGTATACTACCATCCAACCCAACCACAATTAACAACACAAATATTCATCACACCAATCAACACAGTAAACAGCACAATAAGATCACACAACACAGAGTTAACACAACAAAAGCCTAAAGGAACCACCCTCAAAGAGTGTCCACTAGACTCGACCTGCTCTGATACCACTAAAGTATAACGACCCAGCAGGCCACTACTCTCACAAATCACAGCATACCGAAAACACTAGGCAGATTAGAACGAGTATATAATTATAGTGTCTAGAATATAAATATATACATATGTCCCAAGTCCGACTAGAGTTAGGGTATACAATACAAGGATTACATCAAAAGTCACTATGCCTAGTGATCAACACAAACAAAACATCCTTAGAAGCCAGCTCCATCTATCCGCTGCCAACTCATCACTATCCACCACCTATCCCTGCTCTGCTCCCGTACATAGTACGATCATAGCAGTCCAACCACATGGAAACACAAAGGGTAAGCTAGTATAAAGAGAAAAAACATATGGGAAATTTTTAAACAATAACAACAATTACGACCATCAACGATTCATCAATAAACATCCAGTCAGTTATTTCCACACAGATTCACCAATGCACACCAAAATGCGTCATCACGCATATCACCTCGGAGATCTCCTACAACACCTCAGCCTTTCGGCCTACAACACCTCAGCCTTTCGGCCTACAACACCTCAGCCTTTCGGCCTACAACACCTCAGTCTTTCGGCCTACAACATTCAAAAGCAACACACAGGGCAACACAACTGTTCAACTTAACAAATTAACTTACAACATTGCACAACTGATACAACTCACATATCAACTTACAACAATATGCAACTAATATATCTCCCCATCATCAACACTATTATCTACTATAGATTCCTCCAATGCAAATCAACTCTGCATAACAACATTTCACATCATATAATACAACTTCATTCATGCGCCCGGCGCACTTGTAGTTGCACCCAGCGCAGTGCAACCAGAGAGTATCAGGGGGCCCGCGCGCCCAGTGCAGGTGTGCCCGCGCCCGGCAGGGCTCAACCAGAGAACCCAATGCTCACTCGCGCTTGACGCAATGGCCATTGCGCCCAGCGCCGGCCAGGCAGAGACTTAAGGAGTCTCACGTGCCCAGCGTGCACAACCCTGCGCCCAGCGCGGGGAAGGCAGAGACCTCCCTTGGTCTTACGTCCAGCGCAACTCAAATTGCGCCCAGCGCCCACGAGGCAGAGACTCCCAAGGAGTCTCACGCCCAGCGCGACAAGGAGCGCGCTCAGCGCCCAAAAGGAGAACCAAACCCTGCCACAACTGGTATCGCGCCCAACGCGGTCCAAGTCCCGCCCAGCGCGGGCCAGCCAGAGACCCACATTCTCAAGCGCGCTCAGCGCACTCATCATTGCGCTCAGCGGGCTTAGCCAAATGGGGTCTCCTGGTGGTCGCGCGCCCAGGCGCGAAGAACCCCGCTCAGCGCGAAGTTCAACAACAGCCAACCATTTTCGAAAGACTTTTCAAAATCTACAGAATAATCAGAGAACCCCACATGCAATCGGTTCAATCTACTACATTATCATCCCAGAATTCAAAAACACCACCTTCTTCAACATGCAACAACAAATTCATCAAAAAGCCCAAGATTTGTCAAAAACAATCAAAGAACTCAACAATTTCTAATTTTCAGCCTTTCTCACGAGATCAGCAACCATCAACCCTTTTAAACAACTGAAAAACATGCAACAACTGATTCTCATTCCAAAATCACTACAGAACTAGCTTCCCTTACCTCAAATCAAGGAATCGAGCTTCGGGAAGAATAACGAGAGGTAAGCGAAGAACGGCTTGAACGACGAAGGAGAAGAAGAAGGGAAACTCCTACTCAGCTAGCAAAATCCCGATTCTGCTCCACACCACCACCTTGAGACAGCAAGTTGGGGGAGAAGAACAAAAGGAAAAAGAGAGAGTGAGATAATATTGTAAGGTGAGAGTTTAGAGAGGAAGGAGTTAAGGAAAGAAAGATCCGTACGGGGGTATCACAATTACAATCTTTTAGGGACTAAAATTATCCAATGAAAACTTTGAAAATCAAAATCGCACAATTGCAATACTTGAGTGATTAAAAATGCAATTAAGCAAAAAAAAATACTTTTTTTAAATTTTTACTAATAATTTAAAAATATTTTCACTTTTATTTTCTGTTTCTATTTTTTTTCCAAAAAATTGTAAAAGCATTAAAAAGTAATATTTCATTATTGTATACAAATCTTTAAATATATAAAATAAAATGTAAATATAAGATAACGTTATATAGTTATCAATAAAAAATTCCGAAATTAAATAAGTTCTTGGTTATTTGCGGGAACTTAGGTGGATGAAAATGACTCTAAGGTTGGACCGTCCAAATCATAATGTATATGATACGAGAAAAATAGAAAAACAACGACAAATGATCATTAACGTTTCCTAGAGTAATATAAAGATAAAATATTAGTGAATAAATTTTACACATAATGTTCATTAACTAATAACAATATTTTCACATAATAAATGTATGATGTAGTAAAAAAAAAAAAACCCAAATCTTTCTAGAATTGCACATAACAAATGTATGATCATTAAGTCTTTTCATATATTATAACTTTATAAATCAATTAGTAAGTGGCTATTTTCTTCCTACACCCTTCATATTCCTTCATACACCGATCAATATAACATAGGTTTATACAATCAATTGGTAAGTGGCCATTTTCCTTCTACACCCTTCATATTCCTCCTTACACCCATCAGGGTATTTGTTTTGTTTTTTAAAAATATCTTTGCTTCTGTATCATATGTCAACTCCTTTTTCCTTACTCACTCACATCTAGAAATTTACCATCCTCATTCTCCTCACACCAACTATTCACTCTGAAAAGGCTTGCATCTAGCAATGGCGTTGCTCTTCCTTTATTGATTTTCTTGTGTTCCTCATCATTATTTTGTCTTATTCATCGTAGTTCATCTCGTCTCTAATAGGTGAGGTTTCTCGTATTCTTGTGTGTGTATTATTTTTTGGGTATTCAGATGGTAAAGTCTTAATCTAGATTGACTAATTTGGATGAATAACACCAAATCCAAGTCAAAGGTGACCATATGGAATGATTAATCTGGATAGTAAAAGTGTATCCAGAAAGGTGACCATTTGGATTACCCAATCCAAATACACTTATGTTATCTAGATTAGGTAACAAGACGAGCATGGATAAAAAAGGTGGTCATTTGGATTATTAGTCCAAGTACACTTTTGTAATCCATATGGACTTTTATGGATTCACGGTGATCATCTAGATTTCCCAATTTAAATTGCAAAAGTGTATCTAGATTATTAAAGTTGGAATTCCTTGTGAGAGCTTTTTTTTTATTGTTATTATTTTGTGACCTTTTTTCTTGAATTGTAGTCATGACATGTACTAGGTGGTGGCTTACATACAAGACATGGGTCTACAAAGGACCAACATTGTTGACTTACTGTGTCTGCACGAAAACAATGTCTAAGTGTGAATAATGTATTTGAGGAGCCTCATCAAGATCAACCTCCTCATCAGGAGCTTCATATGGAACAACCTCCTCATTAGGAGCCTTATTAGGATCAACATCCTCAATAAGACCAACTTGAGGTGTAGAGGCCTGGAGTTGTAATTGTTCATGTTCTTAACTTTCCTAGTGGACTTGAGGAAATTTTTATCCTCAAGTCATATGAAGATCACATTGCTTGAGTTTTATGGGATGTAGAGTTATTATTCCAAATGAAATGTTTTAACACCAGTTTTTTTTACTAATTATGTATTTCCATGAAAATTATTTATTCTTTTTAAAGGATTGTGGTAAGTTGAAACTAATATCTCAAGTAGGTAGGTGTCCAAAATGAAGGCCTTACACCATCATATGCAACCTATGATTAATGCCACCAAATTAAGCTCTATTTTCATGTGTAGCTTAGAGACAAATAAGGGATTATTATATACTTTTGTTGAAAGATGGCATTTTTGAGACTTCTAGTTTTCATCTGCCTACGGGAGAGATGACTATCACATTGGATGATGTGTTTGCTTTGTTACACCCACCCATCATTAGAGCATTCTAGTTTATTTATAGTGCTTTTTTTTTTCATATATGTGTTCTCAAATTCTCTATGTGTAGTATGAAGACTTGATCCTTATATAGTACTTTGGAGAAGATGACCGTTATAACAACATTCAAATTTCTTTACGAGTTGCTTAGTTTGTCTTCGTAACTGATCTTAGAGAGTACTGTTAAAGCATTTAATGCAAGAATTAAATACTTATTAGAGATGTGTGTCTCTCTTATCTAATCCCCGCAACTACTTATCACCATTTCCTTCTAATTTTGAGTGTAGTAGAAAGTGTTAGCACAAACTAGTTGGAGCTGGTACAGACCAGTCCTTTTCAGTTTCTTTTTCGTGAAATCCAGGATCTTGGTTTTTACTTCTCGTGGATAGTTTGTCTTTTTCCTCCTAAATGTTCTTCAAGACTTTCAAAGCTTTTTTTGTTCAATTTGCTGAGGAATAACACATTAAATGAAGTGCAACGCCAGTCTCATATAACAATGTTCATTTGATGTCATTAGACACACTATATGCTTTATCTGATTTCTTTCATCTTATAGATGATATGTATT